ATAGTATTACAGTCTGCATGAAACTCCATTTCTGTTAAAGTTTCTCAAATTGTTTCTGTTAAAGGAGTATGTTGTATTTATAATTTGATACCTATTAATTCCATTGTCACAGATTTATCGTGTATGTTATAACACGATGCTCTTTTTTAGGTGGCTAGTTGCTAAGACTACAAATTGTTGCACTTTCTTCAGTAGTAGTCTGGGTCATATCCTGTCTGGAACTCATAGGTGAGGTCTCTTTCTGCATTGGCCCTCTAGACAATCTGAGTATTAAATTACTCTTTATAGGTTCTTACACTACCATATTCAGTATCCAGATCAGAACTCCTTTGATCCAAAACAGTTTAGGTGGTGGGTCTATACGTACTAGGTCATTTGTGGTTAAATTGATAGTTGCAGGATTCTGAATGTCATTTATTATGTTGCAGGTTATAGGGCGCTCAGCATTTAAGCAGCAATTGATTCAATATCCACCTCAGACACTGTTTATTTAGGTTAGTGGTTTATAATATTTAGGTGGGTCTGCAATCTGGCCCTCACAGGGATCTTTTTAAACCTAATATGATCATTTTTTCCCATGTTATGAGGGACTAGGTTTCAGATAGTTCAACGACCTCTCACGGCTGGCACCTCTCACAGCTGGCTTTTTCTGATAATACTAAGAAATCCTACGACAGAGCTTTCCGCATTTTTAACAGGTTTTTGTTAGAATTTCATGTTATAAACAAGTATTCCATGGAAACAATTGCAGCTTTGACTTCTTCTTTCCAACTCAACTTAAAATTATCCTTTAACATCATTCAATTATATTTAACTGGTATAACACATCACATACTCACCCTATAACCAAACACACAGTTTCTTGTTATCCTACCAAATTAAAACTATACTGAAGGGCATAAAAAATTCAACTACTACTCCTCCACCCACTTGATTACCTATCCATAGTCAACTCTTCCAATCACTTTTTGACCTCATTGACACTTCACCATTCGAACCTTACACTAATGACGTCATTAAAACCACCATTTATCTAGCTTTCTATAGGTTTCTCAGACCAAGAGAATTTACTACCATAAGCGTCACTTCCCCAGACTACATTAAGAGAGCTCAACTTACAAAAATACCAGACCACTATGTGCTATTCCTCAGCCATACCAAAACTAGCCAGAGGGGTAATTTGGTAAAGATTCCCTATTACCCTACCGACAATAAATGGTGCTCCGTCAAAATTCTAGATAACTACCTAACCTCTGTTCATGTTTCCTCTGATCAGCCTCTACTAGCTTTGCATGACAATACCCTCACAACAAATAAATTCATGCTTTATGTCAGGTAAGATTAGGCGTTAATCCAGCCAATTACTCAGGTTACACCTTCCGAATCGGTGCAGACACCACTGCCTCCAGCAAAAATATATTGGTACATATTATTAAAACATTAGGACGGTGGAAGTCCTCCACTTAGGTAAAATACATACCCCAACCTGTTCTGGAAATGCGCCAAGCCTTCCATAATATGAATGTGTAATGTATTGTATATGCTTATCATTTGTAGACTGAAAAAATCCTGTATGGTATACTCTCTTTTTGCCCTCTTTATAACAGGCTTACCGCATTTGTCAGGGTATTTATATCGGCAGACATCTTGTGCTATGATAGAAATTAAAAGTGTATATGCTGAGTCACTCTAAATAGAGCAGACTCCATTTTGTTATTTTCAAGTTAACAAAAGACACAAGACTTCTATCTGTAAAACTAACCACTTTCCCAGAGCTAAAGGAATGCATAGTATATACAAACCAAGTGATAAGGAGAACGGGGGTTGGACAGACTGTCTAAATGCTAATGGAATATAATCAATTTTAAACCCATACATTTGTGACAGAGAAGATTAAATAATTTAATTTTACTTTTTATATTGTATAACCTCCCATTGTAGTTTAAGGTGAAACTTAGTTTATGAACTGTCATATTAGAAATTATAGCAGGAATTGCGGACACTAAGTCTGGACAAAACTAAGAGAAAACCCTTTGAAGTGAAAGAAAACGTAAGTTATGGCAACCATAAAGATAAAGCAAAATGACGTCAAAATAGCCACCAAGAAAAGTTAACTCTTTCCTAGATAGGTATGTTCAGTGGGACAAGACTGCCCTCTATAGACCAAATACTAAATTGCTATCTGGAAGGTAACCACACCTCCAGTGTTCCTATTGGTCTATCAACTAGTGAATTTTCCCTATAAAAAGTTAAGACAAAGGGAAGAGAGGGAAGAAGAAGGTAGGCGAGGAATGCAAGGGTATGCAAAGAAAGCAAAGAAGGGAGCAGTCGGGTGCAATGACACTCTAGGACACTCAGAAATTCCTACACACCTCCATGCAGAGAGACATCCAAATAAGTTCCTGAGACTACCTACATAGTTACATAGTTACATAGTTACATAGTTACATAGCTGAAAAGAGACTTGCGTCCATCAAGTTCAGCCTTCCTCACATTTGTTTTTTGCTGTTGATCCAAAAGAAGGCAAAAAACCCAGTTTGAAGCACAATTTTGCAACAAGCTAGGAAAAAAATTCCTTCTTGACCCCAGAATGGCAGTCAGATTTATCCTTGGATCAAGCAGTTATTACCCTACATTGAAAGATTATATCCTTGAATATTCTGTTCTTGCAAGTATGCATCTAGTAGCCGTTTGAACATCTGTATGGACTCTGATAAAACCACTTCCTCAGGCAGAGAATTCCACATCCTGATTGTTCTTACAGTAAAAAAACCTTTCCTTTGCCTTAGACGAAATCTTCTTTCTTCCAGTCTAAACGCATGGCCTCGTGTCCTATGTAAAGTCGGTTTGTGAATAGATTTCCACACAATGGTTTGTATTGGCCCCGAATATATTTGTATAATGTTATCATATCCCCTCTCAGGCGACGTTTTTCTAAACTAAATAGGTTTAAATTTGTTAACCTTTCTTCATAGCTGATATGTTCCATTCCTTTTATTAATTTTGTAGCCCGCCTCTGCACTTTTTCTAGTGCCATAATATCCTTCTTTAGAACAGGTGCCCAAAATTGCACAGCATATTCAATATGGGGTCTTACCAGTGATTTATAAAGAGGCAAAATTATATTCTTGTCCCGAGAATGAATGCCCTTTTTCATGCATGACAATACCTTACTGGCCTTGGCCACTGCTGATTGACATTGCACATTGTTGCATAGTTTGTTGTCTATAACAATTCCCAAGTCCTTTTCATGTGTTGTTATCCCTAATTCGCTTCCATTAAGGGTATACGTTGCTTGTGTATTCTTTACGCCGAAGTGCATAACTTTGCATTTTTCAACATTAAATTTCATCTGCCATTTGAGTGCCCAGTCTCCCAGTCTATCTAAATCCCTCTGCAGCAAAGTAATATCTTGCTCACATTGTATTGTTTTACAAAGTTTTGTGTCATCTGCAAACACTGAAACATGACTTTCAATGCGGTCTTCAAGATCATTTATAAACATGTTAAATAGAAGGGGTCCCAGAACAGACCCCTGAGGGACACCACTTGCCACCTCTGTCCAGCTTGAAAATTTACCATTAATGACAACTCTTTGTACTCTGTTTTTAAGCCAATGTTCTACCCAAGAACAAGCATTTTCATCTAGACCGATTTCCTTGAGTTTGAACACTAATCTATTGTGTGGAACTGTATCAAATGCCTTGGCAAAATCCAAAAAGATCACATCCACGGCAACACCCTGATCTATACTTCTACTTACTTCTTCGTAGAACGCAATCAAGTTAGTTTGACATGACCTGTGCTTCATAAAACCATGCTGATTTTTGCTGATAACCATGTTCTTCTCAAGGAATTCTTGAATATTATCCCTTAATAACCTTTCAAATATTTTACCAGCCACAGAAGTTAAGCTCACAGGTCTATAATTTCCAGGCAAGGATTTTGAACCCTTTTTGAATATAGGAACCACATCTGCCTTCCTCCAATCCTCCGGAACACTTCCTGAAAGAAAAGAATCTTGAAAGATTAAAAACAGAGGTTCACTTATTTCTGCACTTAGTTCCTTAAGTACACGTGGATGGATACCGTCAGGCCCTGGAGCTTTGTTTATATTAACTTTCTTTAGTTGCTGCAGCACCTTGTCTTGAGTTAACCAATTACAATTATTCTGCAAGTTTTTAGTAGCAATCATTTGCACATCTATTGCCATGGGTTCTTCCTTAATATATACGGAGGAGAAAAGTTATTTAAAATTCCTGCCTTTTCCTGGTCTTCATTAATTAACACCCCCGTTTCAGTTTTTAGTGTACCTACACTTTCATTTTGGTTTTTTTTAGAATTTATGTACTTAAAAAATGCTTTGGGGTTGGTTTTGCTCTCTTCAGCTATCATTATTTCATTTTGAAGTTTAGCAAGTCTAATTGCCTTTTTGCACGCATTATTTGCATCCTTATATCTTTTATAAGATGCATCTGATTTGTCCGATTTAAATGCTTTAAATGCCCTTCTCTTAGTTGTAATCTCTTGTTTTACTTCTCTACTAAGCCATTTCATCCTACCAATCGGATGAAATATCTACTCAACTGGTAATTATACTGGTTTCATTTAATTAATTAAATTCATTAAAATTTACCAATAGCATGATATATGACTAGATAAATCACGGTCAGATTTCATATTTAGAAATCTTAGTTAACTAAAAGAATATATAGTTATAAACATTCCATTCTGCAGGTGGAATTAAGAATAATTATATATTAATGTGATATTATCACATGTTAGCATACCGCTGTTTTTATCCAGGTGTATTGATTTGCTCTAATATAAGATAAGATATCTTTTAGACAAATTAAATTTGGCTTTTGTAAAAAAACATGTAGATTCTCTTATTGGATGGTTCAGGAAATGACTAATGAACTGGTTTAAATGTTATTTTATTTAAAATTACATAAGAATAGATCTTAATTACCTAGGAGGATCTAGCCAGCATTGAAAGGGTTATTCAGTTGATCTAACTGTTAGCCAGGGTTTTATGGCCCTTCGCTGTGAAAAGCTTCGCTTTCTGTGTCTGTAAGGATACCTCATAAATCGTGTAAGTCTTGACAGAAAATGCTGTTTAGCCATTGAAATGTGTATACCCATTCCATTGTATTTCATATCATTTGATACTGGATATTCATTGATTATTGTCACGCATGTTACATATTATTATTAGTTAATTTGTTACAATAAAAATAAATCTATTTTTATAACAAATTGTGATTTTATTTATATGAAATACTTTTCAAATTACACGATAACGATCTTTGGGATCTGAGAATTGAATTAGTGGGCAATTCTCACTGTTTACTATTATTATCCCATAAATATCCCCACACATTGTTTGTTGTGCAACACCACAACGGACTTCTTCATATTACTGTATTTCACATATTGGGTCCTTATATACCTACTTCTAATCTGCTCTCATTATGGCTTTTTTGCCAATTTTTTGCCACTCCTGGATTTACCTCATCTGACAGTTGTGACTTAAGCTGCACCTGCTACCACTAGCAGAAGTAGCTCACACACTATCAGTTCTAATATCATTACCATCACCAACAATACCACCATCAACATCACTTATACTGGCACCATCAACATTTCCATTAATATTAATCACCAAGAGCTAGTGTGCAAGATAGTGTTGTGACAGTTTTCACTGCCACCAATGCAAATCCACCTGCATTTTCAGCAGATGCAAGGCAAAGGAAGGGGGCTAATGTACCGTTCCAATTAAGCAAAGATTGGGATCACTCTGTGTGACAGACTTGCAAAGTTCAAATTGTGCAGCAAGGAAATGAGTAGGGGGTGAGTACATAGTCATCTAATAAGTGCTGCAAGATACCACAGGTCTGTATTACTGAGGGAAGAAGCATAACAAGTAAATACTAGGGCAGGCAGCATATCCATTGGTGCTGTATCTGATTCTGTGCAGTTGTCACCAACTACCACCAGCTAGTGTCAGTTCTTTTTTCATTTAGTGATGTGACAGAAACGTTGAGTCACATTAATGCCAGTTTAGGACAGATCATCCCTTTGTGAGGGGTAGTCAGATCTCCATCCAGTCACTATTTAAAAATCTCTAGAGACTCAACCTTCTCTTCAGGCAGAAAGTTCCACATCTTTATTGTTCTTGTGGTAAATGGGTGAATGGTAAATGGTTCTTTGCTTAGACTAAATATCCTTTTTTTCCAGTCTAAATGGGTGACCTTGTGTCATATTTATAGACCTATTTATGAATAGATTTCCACACGGTTTGTATTGGATAGCAACTGCTGATCGACATTGCATATTGTTGCCCAGGTTTTTTCCTATAATGATTCCCAAATCCTTGTCATGTATTATTTAATCTAATTCACTACCATATAGAGTATACCATATGCTTATGCATTTTTTATCTCTAAGTGGAGAACTTTGCATTTATCTACATTAAATTTAATCTGCCATTTGACTGCCAAGACCCCTACTCTATCAAAAACCCTCTGTAGTGAAGCAATATCCTACTCACACTGTATTAACTTTCATAGTTTTGTGTCATATGCAAGCAGTGACACAATAAGCCAGTTTATTATTCAAGAACAGAATGTTCATCAAGACCAATCTCTTTTAAATTCAACACTAGTCTTTTGTGTGGAGCCATAACTGAACGCCTTTGCAAAATCCAAGTAGATCCCATTCACTGCAACATCCTTATCTATACTTCTACTTGCTTCACTGTTTTCCTACACTGAACGATGGTCACTGACGCTACAGACTAGATGTGTGGGAACGCTTTGTTCTTCTCAGAGTGGAAGTGGTGAGTGGGTGGTCAATTGACCACTCTCTTTTTCCTTTCATTATATGAACGGTACTTAGTGTTATTAGCAGTTTAAGCCGTGGTTGTTTGTCAAGGAGAGTGTGACAAGCAGGATCGGTCATAATTGAAATGTTTGCAATGAGATACCTTTTGGAGAACTTTTACGAGTAAAGTACTAATTAGAGATCTGATGAAACTCATTGCAGCCCAAACAGATACCTGAAATGACAAGATATTTTGATATTATTGACAAGACAAAACATTAAGTCACTATGGCATCGATGATGCAATGAAACTGGAGTTGTACTACCATAAATTTCTAATGAATGTCTCACCCCACCTTATAAAAAGAATTGGCACTCTCGGGCCTCTTCCACTCAGTCCATCATTAAGATTGCAGCATGTTTCATTTGTTAAAATGCAATTTCTGTAAAAAAAATACTCAGTTTAAGCAATGCATTTTAAGTGCTAAGGTGCTAACCCCATTTGTGGTCAATACATTCTTAATTTTGTAAGTAAGAGGTTTTGATTTTATGGTTTAATAATAATGTTTTTTTGTAGTGGTTTAAACCTGCCTGGCTGAGTCTTGCAGTGCCTACTCTCTCTACAGATAAAGTGGAGAAACCCATTTAGCACTCAATGTATGGGAAAACATTGTTCATCTCAGGTTTGAAAGACTACGTGGATTGTCAATTGCCCCCTCACATTTTCCTTAAATTTTTTGAAGCATACCATAGTGTTATAATACTCTTGTATGTAGGTAGAACGATTCGGCGCCTGAATACAAGGATAGCGGAGCACGTAAGAAATATTAAAAAGGGGTTGGAGTAGCATAGTTTATCCAATCATTTTAAAATGATTCATAACTAAGACCCAGAAGGGCTATTCTTTTGTGCAATCAAGCTAGTTAAGAAGGATTGGAGAGGGGGAGATTACAACAAAAAATTGGGATGGAAGAGATGAAACTTATTTATAATTTTAACACCATGATCCCGCAAAGGTTTAAATCAGGATTTTGAATTGTGTCATTTTATGAACTAAACCTCCACCCCTAATTATTTTTAGTAATTTATTTTTCATTTTTTAAATAATTTAATAATTTTTTAAATAGGTATTTATTTTTTATTTTTGCTTTAAGAGGATATAGTAAATGTATCCTGAACTAACAGCAGTTTGTAATTCATACATTGTCTTAAAAAGCCGAATTATTATTACATTTTCTTCTTTTTAGTGGAGTATATAAAGGAATCTAGAATATTTTGGGGGTCAATATTAACCATTCTACTAAATAATTGCTTTTTTTTTTTTTTTTTTAGAAGATCATTCCACTTAAAGTTTGTCATTTTTATTCTCATAACAAATATCATCTTTTTTGAACCATATGTGTTATAATAATATCTTCTACACACCAGTTTTTCAATAGGAATATGTGTAAATGTGTATATGTATAGGATATAGAATATGCCTTATATGTTAACAGTTTTATTATGATTTATGTATCTGCTGCTTTAAAGCCCATAAGTAATGAGCCAAATACACCTCACGTATTAGTAAGGAGTAGCGCCCACCCTGCAAAGCATGTCGGACCAAGAATTCTTTGATAATATCACAAAACCTTGCATCTTAAATAAAAAGGTAGAACTAACTTTTGGTTTATAGATGGAAAGTGAGACAAGTAATAGGGTATTTTGTGAAGCACACCAGGAACATGTACCGCCCTAACCTACATGTTTAGCTGCAGGCATTGTAGGACCAATTGACACAACAATCTAATGACCGGTAAAGAAGATGCAGAGATGTTGTTTATGGCTGACATCACCCCATGTTGTCGCACAGTAACCAGATTTTTTTATTACTAAATTTTTGAGCCTACAGCTCTACTGCTACCACTATAGGTAACAAGTCTTAAAAAATCAGATTCTCTGTGAATACCAACACTCTAGTGAGCCCCCGGAAGTATATCCCAAGGACCCTGCAGCATCTGTCAAAAGGTCCAGATCAGTATTAGGCTGAATGTTGTAATCTGAATATTGCATGCTGTGAGGTCTGATTTCAAGTCTTTGGATAGTCAAACAAAATGGTGTGGAGAACGTATGCCGTTGTTGCCGGAGACAACCTTCTACAGAATATTCAACCCATGAAGATTATTCCCCAAGCTAAATGCAACTTACGTATTAAGGATTTTAGCTGCTAGAGCATGATTTTCTGTGAACTCCTAGCTTACTGCACGATCTGCTTGAGATCTATTTTCTTATCCATGGGAACACAGCCATGGGCGTCCGCAGGAATTTTTCCGGGGGCGGGGGGGCATAATTGTAATGACATCCATGCTTGGTCCCTTTTTGACAGTGTCATGAAGGGGACGAGCATAGTCATTATCACATAAAGCCAGGGTGAATAGCATTTTCACAACTATGGTGTCAGGAATACATGTTTGTATTCCTGACACTATAGTGTTCCTTTAAGCAAATTAAAGGAACATTCTGGTCACTATAACAACTTCATCTAAATGAAAATGCTATGATGCCAGGAAGCCCCTGGGTGCTCTCTTTCCTTTAAGGGGTTAAACCGCTCTCAAATGGTTTAACTCCAAAGGCTTCCTCCAACTCCAGATTTCCAGGTTGCTCAGTGGTATTCAGCTTCTGAAACAGAGTGTCAGGAAGTGCAGATTGACGTCAGGCATGGGTGCTACAGATTGGCTAGTTGAGTGGTCAGTTGATGCTCTAAGCCAATCGCTAGTTCCCGGTTCATAAAAATGTTTTTCTTTTTTATGAATGGGGAGCTACTGATTGGCTTAGAGTGCCAGCTGACCGCTCTAGCCGATCAGCGACAACCCTCCCCAGCGGCCCTCTGTGCTTCCTGACACTCAGTAAATAAAAGTGAACACATTAACACTGATATTTTTTTACCTGGGGAGATGAGAAGGTCCAAAGTTTCCCCTCCAGGCCCAGGTACCAAAGCCTTATAAAGTGGAGGGTTCACTTCACTTGTCCTTCCTGCTCCAATCTCCTTTTCTTCTCCTTCATTTGACACAGTCTTCTTTTTCTTATGACACTGTCTTCTCTCCTCCTTGGCTCCTTCTGCTCCTTTACCTTTCTGCTACGTTCTGCTTATTGTGCTCCCCCTTCTGCTCCGGTCTCTCTCTGATCTTTCTGCTCCTTGCAGACCCTTTCTGCTCCTTCTCCTAAGTTACCTTTGTGCTCTTTGCTGTCCCTTTCTGCTCCTTGCTACCCTTTTCTGCTCCTTCTCCTATTACCTTTGTGCTCTTTCTGATTCTTTCTGCTCCTTTACCTTTGTGCTCCTTCTGTCCCTTTCTGCTCTTTGCAGACCCTTCCTTCTCCTTGCAGACCCTTTCTACTTCTTGCTGCTCCTTGCAAACCCTTCCTGCTCATTTCTGCTCCTTCGCCTACTTCACATTTGGGCTCCTTCTGTCCCTTCCTGCTCCTTGCTGCTATTTTCAGTTCCTTCCTGACCCTTTGTGCTCCTTCTACTTTACCTTTGTGTTGCTTTACCTTCCAGCTCCTTGCAGACCCTTCCTGCTCATTTGTGTTCCTTTGTGCTCCTTGTCCTACTTTACCTGTTGTGCTCCTTGCTGTCCCTTCCAGATCCTTGCTGCCCCTTTCTGCTCATTTCTATTCCTTCTCCTTCTCTTACTTTACACCCCCCCCCAAAACCGGAAGTGCCGCGCGTCACGTGTTCATTTTAAAACACTTAATTTAAGTCTGTTTAACCCTCGTTTTTATTATTCATGTATTCCATCCATGTCTATACAACATAAACTTTGTTTTACATGTGTTTTTTATGTGTTTTAATATCGACATAAAAATCTGAATTCTGATTGGACGAATCAATTTTGGCGCCAAATTTGAATCATTCACACTCCTATATAATACAAACTAAGCCAGGTATTGTATGCTATTCCATTTTGATAAAGTCTGTTGACGAAACGCGTTATGGATATGTTGTATTGTGTATTTTAAATATTAAAAGTAATTTTTGGTCATTTATTTGCTCCAAATTTTCTTTTTTAAAGTTTTATATACACATTCTCTTACCTGGCTTTTTACTATTATTCAATTATTTTTTAGTATTTTATCTATTAGTATTTTACTTTTTTATATTCCTCTTTGGGACTTTTAACTGGAAGTATCCTGTATTTCAAAGAAATCCAGAGGTGGGGATCAATCCACCTAGGTTGATATACAAGAGCAGTCGGTCTGCTCCTCATTTGTAAGTACGTTTTTATCTATTTATATTAAGAATACTATACAGTGAGCACTATCGGCTGTCTCTTCTTTTTCGTATTTGAGAGTCGGACACCACAGACGGAGAGATACCCACGACATATCCTACAAGCGGGGATTAAACCGCTGTATGCGCTTTTATCCTAGAGCTGGACATAAGCTCTACCAAATGTGAGTTCTCTACTATTAATTCTAAGTACGTCACTATTGGAATTATACAATATTGCACTCTTGGTCGTCCCTCTCTCTCTTTTTTGTCTTCTACATAAGCGGAACTAATACAGTCTATGAAGACTCCGTTATTGCACTTTCCGTTATAAAGACCATCCAGAAGGACACTTAAGTTGGACTTTTCTTTTTATATTGGATTTTTTATTGCATTTATCTTACTGTGGCGCAGCCTTTTTTATTGTTGTTTTAACCTGTCTTGTTTTAAAAGGGTTTGGAGGGTTTCCCCTTTTTGAAGGTTGCTGCCTGTTAACTAGCGCTGTCTCTATTTTACTTTTACCCCCCCCATATATGCCTCACTTTGATGATCTGTAGGCTATCTCTGCCCCCATATATGCCTCACTTTGATGATCTGTAGGCTATCTCTGCCCCCCCCCGCCCCCATATATGCCTCACTTTGATGATCTGTAGGCTATCTCTATATATGCCTCACTTTGATGATCTGTAGGCTATCTCTGCCCCCACCCCCATATATGCCTCAATTTGATGATCTGTAGGCCATCTCTGCCCCCCCCACCATATGCCTCACTTTGATGATCTGTAGGCTATCTCTGCCCCTCCACCATATGCCTCACTTCAATTATCTGTAGGCTATCTCTGCCCCCCCACCATATGCCTCACTTCACTGATCTCTAGGCTATTTCTGCCCCCATATGCCTCACTTCACTGATCTCTAGGCTATCTCTGCACCCCATGCCTCACTTACCTTATCTGTAGGCTGTCTCTGCTGGCTGCATGTGTTGCTCCCCTGTGGATTCAGTCAGAGAGAAGCAGGGATAAGATGCAGCTTCCTATCCCTTTCTCTCTCCATACACAGCGCCATACACCTACTGGCCGGCGCCGGTATTGCACTGTATTTTCAATCTCACACGAAAATTAGCTGAACAAGCTGAAAAATGCAGGGGGGAGTGGCAAGTGCCTCCCCTTGCCCCCCTGTGGACGCCCATGAACACAGCATACCATATTCGGGGAGTCAAATTAATTCCCCAGGAAGCAAATTATTGATGTCGGACCCTCCTTCTTTTCTGGTGAAAGTGAAACCCCGAAGCATAATTCTTTCAATTGTCCAGAGCAGGGAAGAGCACATTAAGGAGTCAGCAGGACCAGCAAGAGGAAATCATCTAAGTAATGAATCAATCTAAGTAATGTATGGAGGGGCTCCAGAATTCTCCCTAATGACCTACTCATGAAATCAAAGCACCCCATGGGTTAAATAAAAATCTAAGAAGAACTAACCTTCCCAAGTGCATCCTAAGAGATGAAAACAGGATGGGTGAACTGGCAATAGCCTGAATGCCTACTCAATGTCTGTTTTTTGCCTTGAGGGCTCCTTGTCCGTAATGTTGTACCCAATGTATGGTTTGGTCAAAGGATGTATATGAAACCCTGCAAGACTCTTTATCTATGCCAATGTTCACTGACTCCCCATTCAGGTAGGAAAGGTGGTGGATAAACCTACATTTTCATGGTTCTTTTTTGGGGGCCACACTCAAGGGGGATACCCAAAGATTAGACATAGGCAGAAACGGAAATGGGTCAGCCATCTTGACAATCGATGGAAATGAAAGTACTGATTTTTAAAAGATTTTTAAGACGCAGTAATGATTCTTGCATCAGGAAAGGGATCTGGAAACCAAAGGAAACTCCATCGTCAAACAATCAGGCTGCAGTTCAATTCTTATACCATTGGAGCCATGTGCATGCAGATACACTTAAAGGACCACTATAGGCACTCAGATCACTTCAGCTCAATGAAGTGGTCTGGGTGCCAGGTCAGAGAAACTGCGTTTCACTGTGGGTTAATCCAGCCTCTACTAGCTGTCTCACTGACAGCCGCTAGAGGCGCTTCCGTGATTCCGCTGGACGTCCATAGGAAAGCATTGTGTAATGCTTTCCTATAGGCGGTTTGAATGCGCGCATGCGCATTCGGAGCTGAGAGGCGGATCGGGGCGGAGAGATCCCTAGTGCCAAGGGAGTCCGGCGCTGGAAAAAGGTAAGTGCTGAAGGTGTTTTTACTACACACACACACACACACACTCTCACATGCATACACACTAGCTAACAGACGAACACATTTACTGACAGACGCACACTCAGTGACAGACACACATACACACTCACTGACAAACACACACTCACTAACAGACACACACAAACTAACACACTCAGTAACAGACACACAGTAACACACACACACTCACTGACACACACACACTGATACTAGCAGACGCACACTCAATAACAGACACACAAACACACTCAGTGACACACACAGTAACACTCATTAACACACTTACTGACACTCACTTGCAGACACACACAAACTAACACACACACACTCACATATTTTTATTTTTTTTAATACCTTTGGGAGTGCTGTCCCTGGGGTCCAGTGGGGCTGCTGGACGGCTGGGCGGCCGGGCGGGTGCGCGAGGGAGCACTCTCCCCTGAGTGCTTTCTGCCTAGCTCCCTCGTGCGCCGCATACTGATGCCGGAGCCGGAATATGACATCAGCTGGGCAGAGAGCACTCAGGGGAGAGTGATCCCTCGCGCGCATGCCTACCCGCCGGCAAAGTGAAGCCACTGGGCCCCCCAGGAGAAGAGGCTGGCAAAATGTGGCCACACTGGCGTGCATACCAGGTCGAAGGGCGGCCGGGCCCCCTGGAGGCCCGGGCCCGGTCGCAGCCGCAATCCCCTGCATGTATACCACTGGGTTCACTCAAGAAGAGTATGATCAGCGATTGCATCATGTACTACAGACAGTAAGATTATCTGAACATTATACACCCCACCATACCAGTCATTTACTTTTTACCTAAAATTCATAAAAATAAGAAAAATCCTCCTGGGTGCCCTATAGTATCTGGCATTAATGCAGTTTTATCCAATCTATCTGAATATTTGGACACTCGTCTTCAACCCTACGTATTAAAAATGCGCTCATATCTAAAAGATAGTATGAGCCTTTTACAAATTCTAAATGATTTTAAATGGCAAAAAAAAGACATTTTAGTCACTAGTGATGTCCAGTCCCTCTATACTATTATTTCACAGTCAAGGATGTGATGCTATAAAGAAAATTCTTGAAAAAGACAATAACACACCCCAAATTCCTATTGATTTTATTCTAGAGGACCTGGACATTATTTTAAATAATAATTATTTTTTGTTTTAGGACTGCTTTTATCTACAGCAAAAGGGCATTGCTATGGGCACGAGAGTAGCACCCAGTCAAGCCAACCTCTTTACGGCAGACTGGGAAGATTCATATATTTGGTCAAACTCTAAATGGTATTCACATCTTGTTCTATACCGCCATTACATAAATGACCTGTCTTTTATTTGGGAGGGCACAAAAGAATGTTTAAATAATTTTTTATCCTTTTTAAATGAAAATAACAAAGGGATTAAACTAAACACAGAAGTCAGCACCACAAAAGTCTGTGTGGAAGATAACGAGTTACACACAAACTTTTTTTTTAAAAGGTTCATACAAACACCTTTATTGATTCCACAAGCTGCCACCATCCCTCATGGTTGAAAAGTATTCCATAAGGCTAAACGTAACTGTTCTAAAAATGAAGTATTCCAAGAACAAGCATATAGCCTTAAAGGAAGGTTTTTAGAAAAACAATACAAAGAGAATGAGATTGACACCTTAATTACTGAATTAAAAAACTACGACAGAAATCAACTATTGCAATATCACAATTCTAACCCAAATCACAATATAGATATACCTATTCTTTTAGATTTTAATAAGAGTTTTAAAAAGAAAAAAAATCATTAAAAACATTGGGATATTTTAAAAGAAGACCCTCTTTTAAAAAACATCTTACCGGATAAACCTAAAATAGTTTTTAGAGGAGCTCCAAACTTAAAAAGGTGTCGGACACATAATTATACAAAGAAAACTATTCCTAAACCATTTTCTTTTAATCATCAGACAATTTTTTATAAACGTAAAACATGTTCAGCCTGTAGGAATACTGATAATAAAGACACGAACATTTTTAATCTTAAATCTACATACTCCCCCAGAGATATAATATCAATAGCTTTATTACCTGTCAAAAAATTTTATATATCTTTTAGAGTGCCCTTGCAAATTGTAGTATGTCAGGATGACCACCAGATGTTTAAAAACCCGTATAGCAGAGCACTGTAGGAATATATCAAAAGGTTTTTTAAATCAGGGTCGAAACATTTTTTAATTTATAACAAAGACCCTACATTTTTAAAGTTTTATGCTATAGAAAAAATATCTCCCCCATGGAGAGGGGGGAACATTTCTAAAATTTTAGGGAGAACTGAAATGAGCTGGATATTTAAACTTGATACCATGCCCCCTAAAGGGCTTGATGTTGATTTTGATTTGTTTAATTTTTAAAAAAAATTTTTTAAACATTCTGTGTTTATTAGATTTTCGGGTTTTCACAGTAAGAAAAAGAGGCATGCATTACAGAGATATTTGATACGCATGGTTTGACAGTGCATTACAGGTGCAAGTAAAGCTCCACCGAACCTGTTGTTTTATTGCTATGTTTGTCATCAGATTTGTGCTGTCATACATTGAGGTGCGTCTGGGATGGTTGTGTGCTATGTTCAGTGGGTGTGTTATTCGCTCTCCGTCTTGTGGTCATTTCTTGTGTCTGTGTGGGTGAGCGTGGTTCTTTGGTCAGTCTATCTGTTTTGCTGCGTCATGTTATGCCACATTGTCTATGAACTATACGTACAAGGTAACACAAAATATAACACGTATATACAAAAGTATAAATACAAATACAATTGGTGCAATTCTTTGAGTCATGGTTCTGTTTAATGTATCAGGGGTTCCAGTATAAATACAAATACAATTGGTGCAATTCTTTGAGTCGTGGTTCTGTTTAATGTATCAGGGGTTCCAGTTTGGTATTTCGGTTCCATGCATGGGCGTGTTTTGGGTCCGTTTGTTGTGGGCCAAGCGTGCTCCTTGGGTGTGATCTTGTGTGTTGGGCCTGCTCATGGGTTGCCCGGCCAAGCTCCTTTGTGGGCCATCTGCCTCAGTTTGTGCCTGGGATCTCCTTTTGTCATAAAGGCTGATGCCCCCCCTCCCTCGTGGCATGGATGTGGGGTCCGGTTGTGTGGCCTAGTGTTTGGGTTTTTTTGTTGCTTTGGGGTCTCATGTTAGGGAGGGTTCGTTTAGCCACGGGTCTCAAAGTGGTGTGATGTTTCGTGGATCTTGGCTGAGAGCCTATCCATTTCCATGGCCTCCCTAGTTTTGCGTATGACTATAGCTAGTGTGGGTATATTGGGAGTGCCCCAGAGTTCTGCTATTGCTAGTCTAGTTGCCAAGGCCAGTCTGTTCATGAGTTTGTTTTGTGCTCTAGTCAGGGGTTCCCATGGCTTGGAAAGGAGCCAGATCCAGGGGTTCAGGGGTATGTCTGTGTGGAGGAGATCGGAGATCAGGTGTGCTACCTTTGTCCATAGTGGTGTCAGCTTGGGGCATTGCCACCAAAGGTGTATATATGTGCCCCTATGTCCGCACTGCTTCCAGCACAGGTCTGACTCTGTCTTTCCCATGTGATACAGTCGTGTAGGTGTTCGGTACCATCTCAGCATGGTTTTGTAGGCCTGTTCTTTATGGTTCACGCATATGGATATGGATGCCGTGGTCTCCCATATCTCCTGCCAGTCTGTCGGGTCATCTGGTGGTTCCAGGTCCCTCTCCCAAGCCGCCACATATGCCATTGCTCCCGGTGGTTGATTAATAGTGTGTAATTATCAGTGATCTGTCCCTTATGGGTTGGGTCGTGTATGCATGTTCTTTCGAAAGTTGTAAGTCTGGTGTTCTCTGGGAGTTCTAGGAAGCTTTTCAATTGTATGTATCTGAAGAGGTCATGGGTGTTGTATGCTTGGTGTGGTTGTGGTAGTTCATTGTACTGTAGTAATTTACCTCCAGCAAAGAAGTGGAAGAGCCTATAGAGGTCAATGTATTTATAATGAGAGAAGTCTTTCAGGTTTATGCCTGGGGGGAAGGCTTTATTGCGCAGTATGGGGGTTAGTGGTGTTGGGTTATTGATGATGGGGGATTTCTTGGTGAGTTTGTCCCATATGGCAATGGAGTTCGATAGTGTTGGGGGTGTTGGTGGTGGTATGGGTTGATTTGTTTAATTTTTTATAAGTAAAGAGAGGAAAAAAATAGGATTAGGATTGCCAGGTTTTGGGCACTTATGTACACTTTAAAAAAAAAACAAAACAAAAAAACAACTTGTTTTTGCTGAGTCCTCCTCCTTCCCTGTTCTATCTAGACTTAGGTTTAAGTACATTATTTGTAATTCTTTTTTATCCCAGCCGGCGGTGGCCATCTTGTTACACCCGACGGCCATCTTGGAACCCCTTTGAAAGTGAACTCCTCTGTATTTACTATTCTTCTTGTGGATACTTTTTTATTTCTAATAGATTTACACATACTATGTTGTTCTTAACTATATTTTATCTTTAATTGCTTATTTGGTTTTATTTTATGTTTTAAAGTTAATTAATGTTCAGGTCACATCATGAAGGTCCCCTACTCTGTAACACTTTGAAAAAGCCTTCTGTATAGGTGAAATGCATTAGTGTGTTTTTATTTGTTTAATAAAATTAATCTGCCATGTACCCCTGGACCTTCATTAGACATCTTTTATTGGAGAAGCTGTATCTCTCATTCCCGGGTGGGGACAAACCGTCTATGGTGTCAATCTCTATTTGCTCATCCATTGTGAGTATATTTATCTCTTTAGTTTATTTGTTTTATCAATACAGAGAAAACTATTCCTGTTCTTTTATATCCTATATATATCACTGGAGCATCATCTGGAATACACCACATGGATTATTGGCACTGGGATATGATACCAGAGGAAATCAGGAGCATCCTAACATCCACAGACTGGGATTGTACCATCCATACGATACGATCTGGAGCTGATCTTGAGCGTGTGAGTGCAATATATTTCTTCCTTATATTCTGCCTCTGCTGTTATATACATACTATACTATATTAGTATTCCTGTCCCATTTAGTTTTCTCCTTTATATTGGCTCCATTGGACAATTGTTAAGGACCTGGGGACCTCCACAGGGGGAGGCCTTTGCACTGGTCAAGTCAATGTTGGGGTCTGCCCCTGTGCTGCGGTTTATGACCCTTTAAAAAAAAAAAAAAGACAGTGATTCATGCAGATGCTAGCAGTTATGGTCTTGGAGAAGCCCTGTTGCAACTTAATGAAGGCAAACTACAGCCCATTGCCTACTGCTCTCATACACTGACAGCAGCAGAAACAAGATATGCCCAATTGAAAAGGAGTGTCTGGCTGGAGTTTGGGCGTGTGAGTGCTTCCAGTGCTATCTGGTGGGCCAGGAGGAATTCATTCCAGAGAATGACCGCAAACCACAGTTTCCATTGATAAATACATATGACATTGTCTCTGAGATGCCAGAGACATTTGATGAGACGACAAGATTCAATGTTCGGGCAGTGCATGTGTCAGGGAAGCAACTGGTGGTGGCAGATACACTATTCAGGCTGGCTGCTGCTGAAGAGTTATCAACAGAATCAGAAGCTAAGTTGTACGTGGATTCAAAATTGGCATCCAAGTTCAGTCTTATCTGGGAAATTGGAACAGATCAAGAGAGAGACACATCTGGATACTGATCTCCAAGAAGTTTTTAGCCACATGTGCCTTTTTGCCTTAAACATTGGCTTACACAGAGGAGAGAGTCTTTGTTATCTACCCTGCTGTCTGTGGCCCCCTGGCAGAAGATAGCTTCAGATTTGTGTGAACTCAATGAAAAGAAATATCTGGTTGTTGTAGACTACTACATCAGGTATCTTTAAATTCAGGTGGGATTAGCACTGTAGTTAGAACAGTGACTTGAAGAATGGGCAGAATAATCCCATAGTCACTTTAGACTAGTGTAGTCTACCCCGATGTCCAAGATGGTGTAGTTATTTATAGTATAATTATTTCTTCTACTGTTTGTTTTTTTTGTCTGTTTAAAAAAAATTTAATAAAAATGTTGTTATTAAAAAGGGGGAGATGGTTTACTATGGGGATTCCAGGTGACGCTCGACGTCCTCATGCAGAGCGTGGGGACGTTGAATGTCATTTAAAACACTTTTGGTGCTGTAAGATCCTGGAAGCACCATCTAGCGACTGTCTGAGAGACAGGTGGAATTAGCCCTGTAATCAAAACACTACAGTGTTTTGACTAACAGGGCTAAGGGACAAGGCACCCAGACCACTCCAATGGGCAGAAGTGGTCTGGGTGCCTACAGTGTCTCTTTAACCCCTTAAGGACACATGACATGTGTGACATGTCATGATTCCCTTTTATTCCAGAAGTTTGGTCCTTAAGGGGTTAAACACAGTAACATTGCTTGAATACACATTTCTATCTATCGATCGATCTATCGTTCAACCTATCTACAACCAAGAGGGCTGCAAAGACCTGAACATGCATACTTATAAGGGTGCCATTGGGCCAAATTCATACAACATACAATATCCAGTGCACTCGCGCTGAAAAAAATTGTTTAATGCAAATACAAATTTAATAAAATATAAATTGAAAAAAACAAAAAAAACATACAATACCCAGCACACTCGCTCATTCACTAAACAGCAATTTCAAGTCTAACAGAATATAGTAGTTTTATTTAAAAACACCACACCTAGGCAAAAAATAATGGGGATTTAGTTACTCTCTGCAGAGAGTCCCAGGAGGAAGCATTTCCCAAGTGGGTGAATTAATCTTATGGAAGCAGGCATTGGGTGTCTGATGATCATATACTGTAACTAAACCCCCCATTATATTTTGTCTAGGTGAGATGTTTTTAAATAAAACTACTACATTCTGTTAGACTTGACTGCTGTTTAGTGAATGAGCAAGTGTGCTGGGTACTGAATGTTTTTTCCCCCCAATTTTATTAAATTTGTATTTGCATTAAACAATTTTTTTTCATTGTATTGTAAAGTAAAAAGGAACACTTTGTATACATGAACATGATAATGTCAAACATGGGTAATTGTCATGGTATCACAGAACACAACAATAACTCTATAGAATCAAGGGCTGTACTCGACTTCTCGGGGGTAGCGTCAGAAAGACCACCTGTTAAGTGTGAGGGCAGGGGTTTGGGTCTGTGTTCAGGGATTGCCTTTGGCAGCGCTCCCTGGTATTTTATGAGGTTTATGTCCCCTTGTAATATTTGATGGGGTTGGGACATCCCCTGGAATGTGGGTTTGCAGACCTAGGGTCTTCAGAAATGTCTCAGCATCTCCTGATGATGTCAGCAACAGGCTCTGTCCTCCTTTATCCACTTGTAGGGATCCCTCCAGCCCCAGCGGTATTTTAGAGAACATTCCCACAGTCCCACAGTTTTCTGGCTACAGGTGCCAATCCCCTCCTTTCTGTCAGGACAACAAACATCTACATAGATAGCCACTTCATGGCCATAATACTGGATTATCCCCTGAGCCCTGAAACCATTCATAATCGTGGATTTTACCGCAATATCTCGTGTTATAGCGATGGTGTCCCTGGGTGCCTCACTCAGCGCAGCTGTCGATTTGCGTACTCTGAACGCTGTAGTGATCTGTGGGATGTTGGACCTATTGGTAATGCCCAGCAAGGCTATAAGGCCATGTATATATTGTGGGAGCTCACCACTTCCAACTGACTCCGGAATTCCTCTGAGACGTAAATTTCAGTGCCTGCGGTGCATTTCGATCGTGGTCTCTGCCCCGTGCAGTTCCTGTATTTGAGAGATAAGGCTTTTAATTTGACTGCTGGCAGTTGTGTGTCTCTGGAGGTGTCTCTCATTTCCAGCTCTCTAACCTTTTGGTGTACCACACCGATTTCAGTCTGGACAACTTGGAGATCTTCCTTCCAAACCTTCCGCAGGTCTATGAGAAGTCTCCTAATATCTATATATACAATGAGGTAGAGGCAAGATTCCTGCCTACACTAATTTCCATGAGCTTTCCACAGTGCAGCAATGTCTCCACACTGTAGTTCCACCAGTGTATAATAGCAAACAAGAGAATAAATTAGAGTCTTGCCCAACTTGATTTTTAGGCACACCCCCTGGTGCTACAACCTTTAATCTTGAAGGACAAACGTTTCGGGCAGTAGCCCTTTATCAATGCGGATGCCCTTAAGAAAGAACAAAATACAAACAAATATCTCTCTCTCTCTCTATATGTATTAGGTTGCTTACAATAACTACATTGCTGCCCCCCACACTTAGAAGTTAATAGAAATCAGCTGTGCAGTTTCTTCCAGCATCCTGCCGCCATCCCTGAGCCTCCATTCACTTCTTGGTTTGTGAGGGTGTGCGTGGTGATGTCAGACGTCGCGTCCGTAGCACGTGATGTCATCATACGCGCTGGCTAGGGAAAGGGTAAAACACATACGTTTTCAAGCAATCTGACTGTATAGTAAGCTACAAACATGGCGAAATAGTTCAATAGAAGGCTACAATCTAAATAATGATAATCTAAATACTCTATATATGGCATATCTTGTTACAAACAAAGGGAGAAAGAGGACACAGCAACTGGATAGTGAAAATCTGATACAGCTGAAATTACTATATATACACATATAGCTACACCTATATTTACAGTAATGCAAACAAATAAACAAGGATAAAAGAGAAAAAAAATAGAAACACCCTCATCTATTAAGAGGGTATACAGCATGCCTATTAGGATGGAAAAGTATATATAAGGAGTGATCACAAGGTTAGACAAACAGATTTAAAGGGCTAGAGCGTATAATAAGTAATGATACATACCCAGTTCCAGGACGGATTCCATGGCGGGTACCCGCAGGATACACTTACAGGAACCAGTGCCACCCAAGCTTCTCATTGAGACCATGAGGGGACAATGTGTACTGATGGTGCATCCAGCGGGCTTCCTTCTGTAGCAATATTTTTCCCTATTACCTCCTCTAGTCAGTGGCGGTACCCTTTCCAGTACTTGATATCATAATTGGGAAGCATTGTCTTTTTTCCTTAAAGTGCCGTGCGACCGGTGCATCTGCATTTGTGCTTCGGATCGTGAATTTATGTTGGGACACACTGTCCTTCACAGTATGTATAGTTTTGCCTACGAAACCCAAGCCACATGGCCACTTTAGGAGGTATACCACATAATCTGTTTGGCATGTAAAGAATCCTTTTAACCTAATCTGTTGACCAGTCCTAGGATTGGTGCAAAATGACCCAGAGATTGTAGTAAAACCAGCCAATAAGGGTGGCCCTATTGTGATTCAAGACAGAAAATACTACCACGAAGAGATTATGAGGCAATTAATGGATAGGAATTACTATAGGGTCCTTAAGAGTGATCCTAAACCCCATATGTCTAAAATTATCCATACTGTACTAGAAAGGGCCCTTAAAGATGAAGTAATCACCAATTCCCAGTTCTCTTTTCTCCTCAATAAGTTTCCCAGAACTCCTGTGTTCTACACTTTGCCTAAAGTCCACAAAGATAATGTTCACCCACCAGGGTGCACTATTGTAGCAGGTACAGACTCCATCTTCCAGCCCTTGGCCATCTTTTTGGACCAATTCCTACAGCCCTTAGTCTCCTCGGGAAAATCCTATATTCAGGATACTAAAGATTTTCTGGTAAACATTAGAAATCAACAAGTAGGGCCCTTGGACATATTAGTGACATTGGATGTATCCAATCTGTATACATCTATCCCTCATCATGAGGGGTTGGCGATAGTGCATAAGAGACTGTCTAGTGTGCTTACGGATGAGAAAATGTGCTCATGTGCAAATACCCTATTAGAGATTGTTTTGAGAAAGAGCTACTTTAGGTAAATGTCTATCTTTTATGAACAAACCAAGGGGAATGCGATGGGTGCTAATATGGTGCCTTCATACGATAACCTGTCTATGACAGACTTTGAAGAGAATTTTGTGTATAAACATGAATTGTTCCAGAGACATGCTATCAAATGGCTGTGCTTTATAGATGACTGTTTTATGCTCTGGCATGGCACTGGGACTGACCTTGAAGTATTTCTTACTTACTGTAATTAGTGCTATAAGGACATTAGATTTACTACTGTTGTATAGTACTGAAATTGTTTGATGTACAGATCAGTAAAAAGGATGGATCCCTAGGTAATGATCTGTACACCAAACCAACTGATTCAAACAGCTTATTACTTGTAAGTAGTTTCCATTCACCTAAACAAATCTGTTCAACTCCATACAGCCAATTACTGCGAATCTGCCGCAGTGTCAGTGAAGACAGCGCTATTGACACACGCTTTACAGTCCTTTCAGAGAAATTCCTGGACAAGGGATATAACCCTGTCTGTTACGCAAAGCCAAACGGAAGGCTAAAAACATGAACCGGGAGAAATTACTCTCCATGACAAACAAAATCAAACAAGACAGAATATCTTTTGTAAGTATGTTTTCATCACTTACACCACAAATACAGAAAGTCATACGTAACAAGTGGTTCATACTGCAAACCGACAAACACACGGGACATTTATTTAAGAATCCACCACTATTTGCCAACACATGTGGGCGATCTATAAGAGACATGGTGGTCAGGGCTGACAGTCAGACTAATAAGAAACCCTATCCCTGTTTGAGTTGTAACCATTGCAGTGGGATCATAAAGGGGGAATTTTGCATCCACCCTAGGACTGGTCAACAGATTTGGTTAAAAGGATTCTTTACATGCCAAACAGATTATGTGGTATACCTTCTAAAGTGTCCGTGCAGCTTGGGCTATGTAGGCAAAACTATACATGTGCTGAAGGACAGTGTCCCAACATAAAACCACGATCCGAAGCACAATTTCAGATGCACCGGTCACACAACATTTTAAGGAAAAAATACATAATGCTTCCCAATTACGATATCAAGTACTGGAAAGGGTACCGCCACTGACTAGAGGAGGTACTAGGGAAAAAATATTGCTACAGAAGGAGGCCTGCTGGATGCACCATCAGTACACAGTGTCCCCTCATGATCTCAATGAGAAGCTTGAGTGGCACTGGTTCCTGTAAGTGCATCTGTGGGTTCCTGAGCTTAGTCTTGCAGACTAAGTGCATCAACTTTCATCTGAGTCCCCATTGGCTGGGAGAGACAAAACACATTGTATATGCCCCTGATAAATGATCATGAAAATGGCTTAAAGATGAAGAAGCACCGTCTTAATCAGTGCAATTCAGACTTCTGGGTGGAAAAATATAATGAATGTATTTTACAAAATTACTTTAGTATGCATTATAGGTCAACTGAATTTTACAATTAATAACTGGGCTAGATTCCATGTACATAATTTGGGTCCCTGTTAAGAAAAGGTTAAGGGCCTTTGGAATGCTTTTCCTATAGTCCTCTATATTCTTGCCAAGTTTTTTCCCTTTCCTATGTTTAATTTCTGAAATTAATTTAGTGAGCTCTCTCTTAAACTATCATTCATTCTTTCAAAACCTCACATTTTTATGAACATCAAGTTCTTTCTTAACCTCTGTATTGTCCAAATTTACCAGCAGCAAATATAATAATTTCCTGCCATAGAACCAACTGCAAGTAGCTCCTCCCACCTGGTGGTGAAATTAAGAACTGCAGGTTTCTAAAAACAGTAATTGTTAATTATTATTTATTCAGCACCAACAAAGTTCGCAGCGCTGTACAATGACTTGGACATTTGTTTTCGCATGAATATGTATTTGTCAAAGCAAGTCAGCCATTATTCTAAAAGGCAATTGGCATCTAGTGGAATAAACAAAGACCGAATTGATTGCAGGTTGATATTTTGTTCTTTGCAATTCATATGTTCATTTATTGTTTAATTACAAGAAGGGTGCTACCAGCTCCCTCCTTGTTATTTGATTATTTAAAAATTAGGGATTATGTAAATTAAACCTTTGAAGGTTAATATTAGTATAAGGGTGGTTGAAATCCTCCCTCATGCCCGCACCAACCATGCCATTGCTATGGACATTTCTACTAAAGCATAGACAGTTATTGCTGCCCTATCACTAATCCAATGTGAGGGGACCTGGCACAGGTTCCCCATTGCCCCACAATGGGGGCATTAATAAAATAATAAAGGGGGGACAGCAAATAGGTGGTAAAAAATAAAATGAACAAGGGCGATATAGTGTCCATCCCAGCCTCTATGTGTGAGTCGTGGCATTTTATTAATATTATTATATTTAATAGCTGTCCAGTCCCTTGTCTTTTATATGATGGAGAGCAGTCACTGCCTGGTCACTGTTTAGTAGACAACCCCTGCACAAGGCATGGTGGGTGGAGGCACGAGAGAGGATTTAAACTTTTCTTACGCTAGTTTAGTAACAGTTGAAAGTGCAAAATTAAGAAATGGCTTTCGTTTTTTGGTTGGTATCCTTATGTGGGATTGCCACAAGGACACCTAATAAGTTATCTACTAAACAGCTCTAGTTTAGGGAGTTATCTGCTAACCAGCTGCAAGACGCAGCCATTGCTACCCAGGCACTAGAAAGACCCCATTCCATGTAAAATAGGAGTGGGGGACATTTCCCCCCCATGGTGCCCCAACCAGTTGCGTTTTGAGTTTCACTCCTCTGCCCCCACTCATGGCCTATGATGGAAATGGGGCCCATTGGCGGTGGGTGGAATAATAATATTTACAATATTAAATGAGGAGGACATTAGATCCTTCCCTAGAGAACTTAATGTCCTCTTAGTGGACCCACACATTGGTGGAGGGTGGAAGCACTTATTATAATATTAAAGGGAGGAGGATCTAATATCCACTCCCAGCTCCCACCCATTAACCCATTTACTGTGGGTGTGGGCACTAATTATAATATTAAAGGGAATTAAATTATTTTCTCGCTGGCTTCAACCCACTGGCAGCTGGGGTCCTAATAATAATATTAAAAAGGGATGACATTAGGTCTTCAACCTGGCTACACCCCCCCATTGGCAGTGGTTGGGTCCCTAATATTAATACGAAATGTAATGTCCAGGCTCTAATTATTATTATTTTTTTAGATTCTTTATTTTTCACATCAGGCTATAGTAATAACAGTGAGAGCATGGTAAGATGTATAACAGTCCAGGCTCCAAGGGGCGCAGCTCATTTGAGCGTACAAAAATTGTGGGTAAACCATCTATAGTAGTTGTAATAAAGGTAAGTAATCCCACACATTGGCATACAACAACAATATATAACAATTTAACTAAGCTAAGTTGATTATTTGCTCTAATAGCGGAGATTTTTAACTCAGTCTGGCTTGAGGTAATTCCACCATGGTCATGGTCATCTTCTCTTCGTGGCTGGTAGTGGATAATGTCTGTGTGAGCGCCGTGATCATGGTGTCTCTCTTCTCCAATGTTAGCAACAGGGAATGTCCATGGGATTACGCATAGCGCTAGTGGGTGAGTCCGGCTTAATATGGGACAATTCGTGCCACCCTGGCTGTGAGGAAGGTGGTCAGCAGGTTAATTCTTTGGGTCAGTGAGATCCTTGTATGTGGTAAATATTTGACAGGGTTTTACAATGATTGAACTATATGCATCTTGCGTCTTTCCTCCTGGCTGGAGGGTCTTCTGCATCTGGATGGTGTTGGTGGTCCAGGCCCTAGCCACTTGAAAGCCGCAAAGTAGTATGTGTGTGTCCATAGTGAAGTTTGGTATACCCAGCCGGGTAGAGAATTCCAAGGTATCTGCAATATTATGCAGTGTTTACAATTTTGATTCTTGTAATGAACTATAAATTTAAAGGGGTATCCCCATGCGTATTTGAGACATTGCTGAGACAGCGCTTGGGTTAGTGGTCGGAGCTCTTGTGCAAATTAATTGGGACCAAGTCTTGGTAGAATTGGAACTGGTGTCTGTCTATTGTTAGGAGGGTGTCCCTGGTAGCCTCTTTTATATAAAGATAGTGGAGGCGCACTACCACAACTCGTAGTTGGATAGTAGCTGCCGCAGGTGTGCAAAGGGCTCTGTGTGCCAGATCTAGAAGGGTGTCCGGCAGTAGGTCGCAAAAGGTTTTGAGGAGACTGCTGCTCATGGTGTCCATTGTGACTGATTCATCGAGCTCCCTTTTATTTTGCATATTAATTAATAACTAGAAACACTATAGGGGTTAAATCGACCTTATATTACTATAATGGAGGTTTTAAACCAATGTCCACCCATGGGCATTGGTTGAGGGTCTTCAAAATAAACAATGGAAGCTAGAAAGATTACTGTATATCCCCCTGTCCCAATCTAGGTCTGATGGTAAGTATATATATATATTTTATTTTTATGGGTATTCATTTTATTGCCCCCTCACAATTATCAATGTGATGGGGTAGGTAGGGTTACTTCCTTTTATTGGAGGGTGGCTGGGGATTGGGGATCCCTGGCCATCCATAGGGCGGTGGGCTTGCCATGCTGCTATTTGGGAAGTGGTGGACAATGGCATGTCCACCCCACTGTTGTATAATTATTTAGAGCCGCCTGGATGGGTACTGGGTGCGACACTAGGTCTCCTTTTGAATACAGTAAGGTAAAAAAGTATTTGATCATTTGTCCACTGACAAAGAAATGATCAGTCTATAATTGTAATGGTAGGTGTATTTTAAACAGTGAGAGACAGAATAACAAAACAAAAAAATCCAGAGAAACGCATATCAAAAAAGTTATAAATTGATTTGCATGTCAATGAGTGGTATAAGTATTTGATCCCCTATCAATCAGCAAGATTTCTGGCTCCTAGGTGCATTTTATACAGGTAACAAGCTGAGCACTCTCTTAAAGGGAGTGATCCTAATCTCAGCTTGTTACCTGTATAAAAAAAGACTCCTGTCCACAGAAGCAATTAATCAATCAGATTCCAAACTCTCCACTATGGCCAAGACCAAGAGTTGTCCAAGGATGTCAGGGACAAGATTGTAGACCTACACAAGGCTGGAATGGGCTACAAGATCACTGCCAAGCAGCTTGGTGAGAAGGTGACAAGAGTTGCTGCGATTTTTTGCAAATGGAAGAAACACAAAATAACTGTCAGTCTCTCTCGGTCTGATGCTCCATGCAAGATTGGTCTGATGCTCCATGCAACAATTGGTAATATTCTATGCCGTGAAGAAATGAAGTCCTGCGGCGCCCGCAAGGTCCCCCTGCTCAAGAAACCACATGTACAGGCTCGTCTGAAGTTTGCCAATGAACACCTGAATGATTCAGAGGAGAACTGGGTGAAAGTGTTGTGGTCAGATGAGACCAAAATCGAGCTCTTTGGCATCAACTCAACTCGCCTTGTTGGGAGGAGGAGGAATGCTGCCTATGACCCCAAGAACACCATCCCCACTGTCAAACATGGAGGTGGAAACATTATGCTTTGGGCGTGTTTTTCTGCTAAGGGGACAGGACAACTGCACCGCATCAAAGGGACGATGGACAGGGCCATGTACCGTCAAATCTTGGGTGAGAACCTCCTTCCCTCAGACATACACTCACTCACTGACACACAGGCACACACAGACAGACACTCACTCACTGACAGACACACACAGACACTCACTAACAGACATACATACACTCACTCACTAACACACATACTCACAGACAGACACACACACACACACTGACATACATACACTCACTGACAGTCAAACACTCACACACTCACTGACACCATTTTTTTTTAGGCCCATCCAGCCCCCCTACCTCCCTGGGGTCCAGTGTGGGGCAGCTCCTCACTCCTCCCATCTGCTGTTTAGTATGCCAGGGGCTGGAATGACGTCATATTCCGGCTCCCGGCATCACAGAGGGCACACAAGGGAGGAATGGGAAGCTGCAACAGTCTCCCTCGCTGCCTACCGTCTCCTTCCCCCTCTCCTCTGGTCACTGGCATTTATCGACAGAGCAGGCACCTGCTCTGCCATACTTAAGGAGGACAGCTTCAGGGACGCCCCCTCCTAAGTCCCATGTGACAGGGCTCTTCTGGGCACCCCCTACCTTTGGCGCTGTGGCCCATGACAGGGGCAGCCAATCAGGAAACATCCTGGTGGGCACCCCAAGCAGGCTAGCGCCCTAAGCATATGCCTAGTTCGCCTAACAGTTGCGCCTGCCCTGACTGACTATACACACACACACACACACTGCATACACTATACATACACACATTACACATACACAGACACACACATACTGCATCCACTATACACACACACATACTGCATCCACTATATAAACACACTGCATACACTATATATATCTACACACACACACACACACACTGCATCCATTACACAAACACACACACTGCATCTTCTTCACAAGCACACACTGCATCCACTATAATTTTTGTATCTGCATACACAGACACACATACAGATACACAGATACAAACACTGATACATACAGATAGACTTATACCAGGGTCTGTCTATGTGTCTGTATGTGTGTATATTCATGTGTCTGTGTTTGTATCTGTGTGTCTGTGTATGTCTCTGTGGCTATGTGTCTGCGTGTGTGTTTGCATCTATATGTCTCTATCTTTTTTTGTGTCAGTGTTTATCTGTATCTGTGTGTGACTGTGTTTCTACATATATGCTTGTGTGTACCTATGTGTCTGTATCTGTATGTGCCAGTGTGAGCATCTGTGTGTCTATGTATATGTGAGTATATGTGCATACATCTCAGCATTTTGCCAACACTACATAAATACACTCCTGCATCCAAATGTCAAAACTACATAAAAGCACACCACCATATTAAAAAACACACTACACAAAAATGGACGCCTACATTAAAATGCCAACACTACATGCAAACACATCCCTACATTCACTCACACATACTCCATACAAAAACATACTTACATTCAAACACACAAACGCTGCTCAGTGCTACATACATGACAAATACAAACATATGCAGTGCAGTGCTAAATGCATTTAAAAACGTGTGGGTGCATTTTACAATTTTGAGGGAGGATTCCAAATGTAGGATCCACCCAGGGTGTCAAATGCTCCACGTACGCCTCTGTACACAAGAAGGATGTAAGGGGAAAAACTAAAGATAAAAAAATAAAAAAAGACATTAAAGTGGGTGAGATAATTAAACGAGGGGATAACAAACACAAAAGGAGGCAAGAAATTCAAAAGGGAGGTTAGGAAACACACAAGAAAATAGGCATTTTTTTGAGGGGGAACTAGGGAATGCATATTACTTGCATCACCTGCTCTTCCTGTTACTCAGTTGCTTAGCACAGGAGTTTATGCTGAAGAGTTGATTGACAGGTGAGAGAAAGATGATTAAAGACTGGTGTCTATATCCTGTTCCTGCAGGCTGAGCACTGTAAATGTTGCCTTTTCTAAGAAAAGGCAGTGTTTACAATGTTGCTTAGTAACACCTCTAGTGTAACTCAGAGAACTGAGTAGTTGGTATTATAATAACATGATGTTAGTGTAGTATGCTGATAAAGAGTAATCAGGCCAAATCAAGGTCTTAGACCATGAAATCAGAATAAACTGTAAATAGACAAAATCAAAACAGAGACTGCACTATATCTTAGTGAGGCAAAGTCATGAAAGGGTAAAGAGGACAGTTTACATAGGCCTCTTCTAAGTCAGGACAGGATTAAATTAAAGGGACTCTGCAGGCAGTCGTTTTTACCCACCTGGTTCCAGCGCCGGGAGCCTCGTGAAGCCACGCCCCCTATTTAGTCAAAATGACTAAAAAGGCGGGCGCGAGCAGGGAGCAATCAGACGCTTCCATTTGGAAGCGTCATTGCTCCCTTGTGCGCATGCGTGGCTTTGCCGCACATGCGCACATACTTCATAGGGTGGCATTCATGTCGCCCAATGAAGTCCTGAGCGCACTACCGCGCATGCGTGCGGTGTGCGCGACCGCAAGCTGACTGACAGCTCAGCTCGCGGTCTTTGCCCGCCCCCTCTCCTCTGCTGACAGGCAGGAGAGAGAAGGTGCGCACATAGTGCCTTCTCTCTCCTGCACACGTCACACGTATATTAATACGTCTGACGTGTACATGGCCTTTTTAGGGCCATACATGATAGGAAGTCCCTCTGGTGGACGTCTGAGTGACGGCCACTGGAGGTATTCCTATCAATCAATGTAAACACTGTATTTTCTTTGAAAATATGATGTTTACATTAGATTGCCTGCAGGGAGCTATAGATCTCACCTGAACAACTACATTAAGCTGTAGTTGTTCAGGTGACTATAGTGTCCCTTTAAAGTAACAGGTCCTGTAATATGTTTTCTGTTACGCTAAATATAATTTTTATCTACCAAATGCTCCCATCCAACTGCAACCACAGATATAGCAGACATGCACCAGGCATTGTATGATATAATGAAGGCATTCGGAGAGGATGCAGACAGTATATAATCCTTCAGCAGTGAGTTTGTCACAATCTTTTTTTTTGGCTAAGCAATTTTAAAAAATGTATTAATTGTATTTAAGTATAATTTTTTAATTGTCATATTTTTGTTGCTTTTTAGTTATTTGAGGCCTAAATTCCCAATCTCTTCCAAAACTATGTGCCATGGCTGTCTAACTGTAAAATAAACTCTGCTCCCCCCTATTTATTCTTCCTTTGAAAAGCATCCCTGCTATTTATTTTAAAGTAGGAAGGAGGCTGTTACAAGGCTTCAAAATGACATAAACATACTTTGTTAAATAAATGTCACATTTGCATTATCTATCGATGACAAATTTTACATTATCATCGTTAGCTCATGCTTCTAGATTCCTCAAGTCCAGCTGCATCTATTTGTTAAGACCTTCAGTGGTTATGGTACTGAGGTCTTCTATTCCTTTCCCAATAGCTGAGCATAGGTGATCATAACTGCAGTTAGGGTGTAGATGAATGCAGCTTCCAAGACAATTCTCCCCAGCAAGTAAAATATTGCCCAAGCATCAGCCTAGACTTCATGAAGGGTACAACAGGAATGCCCTTTATTGACGCCACACTGGTTTTTATGGAAATCCTCCTGCCAGAGGATCTCCCACAATAAACAAAAGGAACAACCAATCACGTACAATACACTCAGACACTCCCAGCAATTACACACAAACCCTCCCCTCTGCCTGGGTACAATTATCTCAACACAATAGACTAACTTACTTATCACAGGCAGAAAATATACAGTCTTTACAAAATATTAATAACTTCCAAAATATACATGCCATTCACATACATTTTCAGAATCAGCATACTTGAAATATACACATACTCAAAAATCAAGGTAATCGGTTCCTATTTGACCGACCGCAGGCACATTTTCATGCCCAAAAGAGTTCCATAGATTTGGGCTGAGCGGTCGGTCAATTTCACACAGAAAAATGTCTAACTCTCATTCGAATACACGAACGGGGCCGTCCGTGCAAATAGCCCAGTTTTTGAACATTGAACGCACTTCGATTCCAGCCAAAACGTCGAAGTTCATGAGAAGGTAAGGGTCAGCGGTGTTCGTGCAAATATTTGCCATAGATTCAGTGGCACGCACCGCTGACCGCATTCGACCAAATTAAAATGGCCACCGCCACATGTTCGATTTTCGAATAGCGGTCACTTCGGCATTTCGACTGCATCCAATGTGCCAGTTTAAAAGCACAAATCCTTTCTCTGGGAGTTAAAGGGCCAGCAGCAGCACAATGAAAATCCATTATGCCCAAATAAACGAATACAGCTGAAAGTCACGAATAAACAGAAGAAAATGCTGAAAATAAGTCTATTTTCTTCACACTATTAAACTAGGAAAAAATAGATAAATAAAAAACAACATCCAATGAAAAATAATTAACATCCTCCAGCTGGATGGTTTGAAGAAATTAAAATGAGATCTTATGGAAAGGTATTTGTGTTATGCCCCATCACTCTGGCTGGCTTAAAAATTGCACCATGACCAGTCCAGTGAATTTAATGTGGTCATGGCTCTTGGAGTCTGTATGTGTAGCGTTTCACTCTAAAAATGCTGCATATACAGATTTTAAACCCTCTGCTGTCAGGAGGTTGCAATTTCATCTCTGGAAACTCCATCCGGCTAACTAATGTAAGTACTGTGCATATTTGTCATTTGTCATCAGGACGCACAGCAAACTAGCAACAGACAATGAATGTTGGCGATGTCCTCCCATTACTGCACCCTTTCAAGCGAGGGATGTAACATCAATGGAGGAGGATCAGGCTAAGGGAGAACTGGAATGGGGATGAGTTTTAGCTATTTTATTTTGTTTCACTTTTTTGTGGGGAGACATAATAGGAAGGGCTACTCTTCTTAAAACACTAGTTTTGGTTTTAGTAACCCTTTAATGTATAGCTAATCACAATGCAACATTAGGTAAACTAGTCATCTTGTTCTGTACACAGAATGGTTTCATTAGTTTTATTTTATTTAATGATTTCAGATTTTACAGCATACTGTGTTTACTTTGAAGTTCTTATCTCCTGTTCTGTTATTTGAACTTTATTCCCACACAAGAGGGTGCTGTAGGCTCTAGCAGGTAACTAAAAAAGCAAAAAATAAGAAATTCTACATTTCCAAATGCAATAAGGGTAGCTCAAACATTTATATTCTTTTCCAGGAAGTGTGAAAGGAATAGGATGCTGTGTGAGTCAAAGTCAGGGGAGCTGTGCCAAGCGCTGCATAAACAAAGTGATTTAAAGGACCACTACAGGCACCCAGAGCACAGCTCAATGAAGTGGTCTGGGTACCAGGTCCCTCTAGTTTTTTAACAGCGCAGCTGAAAACATAGCAGTTTCAGAGAAACTGCTATATTTCACTGAGGGTTAATCCAGCCTCTACTGGCTGTCTCACTGACAGCCGCTAGAGGTGCTTCTGTGATTCTCACTGTGAAAATCAGTGAGAAGATGCTTGACGTCCATAGGAAAGCATTGAGTAATGCTTTCATATTGGCTGCTTGAATGCATGCATGGCTCTTGCTGCGCATGCGCATTCGGATCTGACGTCGGCAGTGGGTGGAGAGTTCCCAAGCACAGAGAGAGCCTGGTGCTGGAGAAAGGTAAGTGGCTGAAGGGATTTTAACCCCTTCAGCCCAGCGGGAGGGGGGCCCTGAGGGTGGGGGGACCTAAGGACCCTATAGTGCCAGGAAAACGAGTTTGTTTTCCTGGCACTATAGTGCTCCTTTAACTTCTAAACTGAACAATGATACTGCAGAGGCATAATCAATACACCAAAAGCAATTAATTAAGCTAGTGTTGTTTTGGTGTTTAAATTGTCCCTTCAACCTTACTCTTTTACTTCTGTGCCAAACAACTGAAATTATTCTTGCAAGCTCTCTTTTTCTTGTAGGAAGAAGACTCACTACACTTAAGAGGGAAATCACCCAAACATTTTGCTGCAACAAGAGTAAGGCTGTTCTTCACTGATTGCGCTTTCCGAAGCTGATAGGACTTCCAATAATACAAGACATACAAACTGTATGACAACATTTCCTTATTCTTGTCATGTGTTATTCTGCCACATTTCGCATACAAGCAAATTGTTATTACGAGTAAGCCATTAAAAATTAATAAATATAAAATACTTCAGATAAATAAATTAATCTTCTGAATAGGATATTGTTTTTTTCCTCTGCATTTTTGTATGTTTCCTGTTGAATATTAAAAGAAAATTTCATTGTTAGAATGACAAGCTTTTCTATAATTAGTCCATGCAGATTTCAGAATGTAGAATCTTGCACTTATCATATTGTTCGTTCTTCTGGTGAATGGATAAAACACAACACATACAATCTTGTGTTAATGTTGATTTTCAGAGGCAACAAAGTAAAGTATTTGAGATGGATTGAAGCCAAATTATTGGTCTACAGGATTTCTCCTGGAAAGTCTCTCTCCCCTCACAATACTCTGTACCTTTCAATTTTTTTGAAACGACAAACTTTCAAAAGCATATAATTAGCCATAAAATGATAACATTGCCCAAAATACCTCCAACTGGGAAAACACTCAGACACAATACAGCATGTCTTCATAGCCCCAGAGCTGACTGGTATGCACACTTAAACAAAAAGAATTCTATAATTAAAATACCGCATTCCCTCTGCAGATACAATTGGAAAATTATCCTTAATTTGAAAGTAAATCTTGAACATTAAATTCCTACATGAAGGCAGAAAAATGCAGCATACCACATTATATAGTTGTGGTGGACTGTAATCTTCCCAAATTACATTTAATTAGTGGGTTTGGTTTTAAAGAAAGAAAAACAGAAAGGGTAGGATTTTAC